CCCTCTTTTTCTCTGACCTTGTAGCAAATTGTGCTAACAGTGTAGCTTGTGTGTTTGATAGGGTGACTAACCAAGCCATACCCTTGAGCTATGGTGTTAGAAAAACTCCTTGAAAGCATCTTCAAGGCTTCGACTGGGACAAGGAGCCTGGATCCTGCTAGGCATTCCCCTGGCAAGGTCTTGGCTCTGCGTAGCCTCTGGCTTTTCTCACTGCTGACCTTCGGCTTTCTGTCTTCAGTGGTGTTTGCACGAAGTGGAATCCTTTCCTCACATCTGCAAATCAAGAAAGAAACACATCTGTGAAGGGTGGAAAAGCCTGTCTGGTCAGGCATAGCCTTTTGTTTTAGAAGTTCCATTTTCATGTCTTACATCAGCCAAGGATTTTCAATTTGGTTCTGGTGGGTTGCAAGACATAGCAGGCATGCATGTGTGTACATCCAAAATCCTGACAAGATAGAGAAATGGAGGGATGGGGGTTATGGGAAGGGGGGGTACTTTTTGTCTCTCTGGTGAGAGCATGCACCCTCTGGCAATTACAAAAAAAGAAAAAAAGTAAAAAAAAAAAAGAAAGAAAAAAAAGAAAGTGTTTAAAAATACTATATTTCTATTTTTAAAACATTTGAGGTTTTGGGGACTGAGAAATGGAAAATTTAAGAGTATTCCCCCCATTCCTCAAAGATTTAGAAATGAGGACTCATAATGAAGTAGAATTCTCTTATGTTCTCTGTGTACTGTTACCTTCTAAAGTATCTATATACATCTAATATCTGTTTCTCCTTTATCTATGTATTGTACATATTCAGTCAGAACACATTGAGGGGAGTTAGCTTTACTTTTTAAAAAAGTTTAATTTAGGGACTAACAGATGGCATAACGGTTACATTGCTGAACTCCCACATAGTTCGAGTCCTGGGCATGGTGGCATAAAACTCATGCTGGGCGCATGTGCGTGTGTGCCCAAAACCCCAAGAGAAGATGGAGGAGAAGGGATTGCAGCATGGCCATCCCCCTCAGGGGGGTGGTTTCTCGCTTTTTGTATCTATGTCTCTCTCTGTCTGTCTGGCGAGCGCACGCGCCCTATAGCGAAAATAAACATGACAAAAAAAAAAAAAAGAAAAAAAAATCTCTCTGAAAAAAAAAGTTTTATCTATTTTATTCATGATAGAGAATATGTGTACATGCATGAGAGAGAAAGCCAGATCCCTTTCACAGGGTCTTATGCCACGATCCCCTTTCCCCAACCCTTAGCTCATGGGGAGCTTGGGCACCCACACACACCAGCATCTGTCAGGCCAACTGAGGGATTCAAACCCATGGTAAGCTGTATGGCTTCTTGTACTCAGTTCAGTATGCTACATACTGTGCCACCAGGTTGGGACAAATGATCTTTTTTTTAAAAGAATTATTTTATTTAACTTCATTTATTTTATTTATTTATTTTAATTTGACCAGAGAGGAAGGGAGAGGAAGAGAGTGAGAGAGAGAGAGAAAGAGAGATAGAAAGCAAGAAAGCAAGCCACCAGGTTGGGAATCGAACTGTGGTTGGCTACGCAGGAGTCCAGTAGCTTTAAGCACCACGCCACCTGCTGGCCTCCAAATTAACTTTTTATTTTGACTCAAAAAACCTTTCCTTATGTTTCTTTCTTTTTATTGGCAATGATCAGACACTAAGAAAATCAGATAAAATAACTTGCTAATTTGGCTAGCTTTTTTTCCTCGCACATGATTCTAGGCAACTTATTTAATTATCTGAAAGTGTCTTTTCTCAAGAAAAAAAAATATAGCTATCAGTCTATATTCCTGATAGCTCGAGTCTCTTCTACATTTATTTGCAATCAATGTCCAAGTAAAGTGAACTACAGCTTGAAAAAGTGCATAAGATTGGGACCAGCAGTTAGCGTAATGGCTATGTTGCTGGACTCCCACATAGTCAACTGCAGTTTGCGTCCCGGACCCGGTGGCTTAAAACTCACGCCAGGCGTGTGTGCATGTATACCCAAGATCCCGAGAGGAGAATGGAGGAGAAGGGATTGTGGCGTGGCCATCCCCCCTGGGGGGTGATTTCTCGCTTTCTGTCTCTCTGTCTCTCTCTGTCTGCCTGGCGAGCGCACACGCCCTATACTGAAAACCTCTCCAAAAAAAAAGCTAGCATATATACCATCCCCCATTTAATTGGTGCTCTCTTATCTAGGAAATTAACTCAGCAAGAGAAGGAGAAGTCTTCTTGTTCTTAGGCAGGCTCCATTTCATTTTGATTGATTCTTTTTAAAGATAATTCAACAATTCATTTTTCCATTTTTTCCTGGTTTATAGGTAAAGAGCACAACCCAAAAGCAGAGTCAAGACTATAGGAGATAGGCACAGGACAGCCACAGAGATCGCATCTCTCAGTGGGCTGAGAAGGCACAGGAAATAATGAAGGTGACACAGACTTCATAAAGTCAACAGCTAGGATCTTTTCTCATGGGGTGCAAGAGTTTGGAAGCCCTAGGCTATTCCAGTGTCGAGCTAAGCATGGCACTTAATTGGTGGTTCAGTTTCAGATCAGGAATTGTATGTGATGACATCTGAGGTTCTTAGAAATGGAAATTCTATGATTCCCAGATTCAAGTTTACCAAGACTAAGTGAGAGTATATCCAGCATGCTTAGTTTTAGGAACTCACCACTGTTTCCATGTTACCTGAGACTTGAGTGGTGGTGGTTGTCCTTCGTTGTTGTGCTTCAAGGTCCGAGAAGAAGAAATGCATGTTGGGCCCTTGGGCAGCCTTTGAAGGAGATCTGGACTCTCCAGCCCATTGAGAAATGGCTTTTCTCCTCTTGCATTGTGTGCCCCATGCTAAGGCTCATTCTACTTAGTCAGGGCTGTGCCTCGTTCTTGAAGGGACAAACCTTAGTCTTCAGACCCTGTAGAGTGGAGGGCCCAGGAAGATGGACAGTCCTGGCAATTTTCTAGGTAGAACTATTGTCCCAAGGTTTCCTCTACTTTCTTACATGTTGCTTATTTACGCCTTTAGTCAACTTTTCTCCAAACTTCCACCAGGAGATGTAAGAACATGTACGGGGGGTGGGGTAGGGGAGTGTACAGGAAAAAAGGCTGCAGAGACAGTGGCTAGATCTTCTGTTTCTTTCCTTAGCTGTATCTTAGTGTTTAAAAAATCAAACCCCCACTCCCTCCACATTTGGTTACTAAATTTTTGTTAAGCTGTATCTTAGTGTTCAAAGAATCAAACCTCTACTCCCTTCACATTTGGTTACTAAATTTTTGTCATTTTTCATTTTGTTTATTTTGTCAATAAATAAAAGAGGAAAAATTTGTGATCCAAGTTTACCGGGAAATTTCCCAGAGTTCTATTTCAAAGACAAAGATCCGATGATGCTACTCTTTGGCTCAAATTACCCCCGTGACTCCACATTGTTTTAGTGTTTAAGTTACTTCACATGACTTATAATTCAGGGTCTCCTTAATGATCTGGACTCTGCTTCTAGCTCTAAACCATCTGTTGTCGTTTTTTTCTTTTTTTTTTTTTTTCTCATTGTCTACATTACAGACATACAAAACTGAACTACATTCAGGTTCTAGAATTAACTTCATTCTCACCACTGCAGCTTTGCACGTGCTCATCTTTTTGCTTAGAATATTCTCTTCTCTCCTTTTCCCAGCTAATGTCCTTCTATTCCTTAGATCTCATTTGTCCTTATCTCTAGGGGCCTTCTCTGACCCACCAAACAGTACCCATTGCCTCTTCTGTACGTTCTGTTAATTCTCAATGTAAGCTACTATCGCAGTGTTGGTCACTGTTTTTTTCCTTTATTTTATTAAAAAAATAATTATTCAATTTTATTTATTCAGTAATTAATTTATTATTTTCTTTTGGAGAGGTTTTTGTTACAGGGCATGTGCACTCACCAGAAAGACAGAGAGAGACAGAGAGATAGAAAGTGAGAAACCAGCCCCCAGGGGGGATGACCACGCCACAATCCCTTCTCCTCCCTTCTCCTCTCGGGATCTTGGGCACACACGCACACGCGCCTGGCGTGTTTTAAGCCACTAGACCTGGGACTTGAACCGTGGTCGACTACATGGTAGTCCAGCAACATAGCCATTACGCTAACTGCTGGTCCCCATTAATTAATTAAGTAAGTAAGCAATTGTTTGGGGGAGGTTTTTGCTATAGGATATGTGCACTCGCCAGAAAGATAGAGAGAGACAGAGAGACAGAAAGTCAGAAATCACCCCGAGGGGGTTGGCCAAGCTGCAATCCCTTCTCCTCCATTCTCCTCTCGGGATCTTGGCCATGCACGCACATGCGCCCGGCGTGAATTTTAAGCCACCTGGTCCAGGACGTGAACTGCAGTTGACTACATGGGAGTCCAGCAACATAGCCATTACTCTAACTGCTGATCCCGCCATTAATTTATTTTTAATATGATCAGAGAGAGACAGAGAGAGAGAAAGGAAAAGTGAGAAAGCAAGTCACTAGGTCCAGGACTCAACCATGGTCGGCCATGTGGGAATGTCCAGCACTTTAACCACTATGCCACCTGCTGGTCCCTCTTTCTTTTCTTAAATAACGTTTCTTTCTTTCTTTCTTTGTTAATACGAGAGTCCCCCTTTTTTCATGGGGAATAAGATTTTTTGTTTTTGTTTTATTTTATTTTATTTTTGAGAGACTTTTGCTATAGGGTGTGTGCACTCACTGGAGAGACAGAGAAAGAAAGTGGCCTGTGGGATCCAGCTGCCTTAACCACCGTGCTGCTGACTGGCCTGTAGTCCACTCTCATGTGCTCTCATTAGACCATTAGTCTTTAATGGTGTTACTAATGGAGTCTTACAGGTGAATCAGTACATTTTTTTGAATGGATCTTTCTTTATATTTTGTGTGTGTGTTTGTCACAATGCATAGCCCAGTGCTAGGTATGGAATAGATATTTAACCTATGCTAGTAGAATGATAAATAAATACTTGTTACTCTAACTGGAGCTCTTGGTTGATTTGCAGTTTTATGTATGGAGAACTGACTGACAAAGACACTATTGAAAAGGTGCGGCAAACATTTGAAAACTATGAGATGAATTCCTTTGAAATTTTAATGTACAAGAAGAACAGTGAGTATTCATATACTTTTATGTATTTGGAATCATCAGATATCTGCTCTTCCTCTGTGGCTGTCTTCGTTTTTCTTCTCTCCCATCCACCAGATGTCACTTGAAGCCATTGGGTGTGTGAGGACAAATTTGACAAGGTTCTTGTCACCAACCAGTTAAGATTTTATCTGTTGACTGCCCTGAGTTAGCGTTTTTCCCATTGGTTTAATTACGGTGAGCTGCTGGCTTAAGGCACTTGTAGACTTTGCACTGTCTTCAGGGGAGAAGAGAAGGGGGAATAGAAACTGTCCAGTTCATTTTTGTATCTATCTTCCACAGACTTCACACAGTGAGTAACACGGAAATAAGCTCAGATAGAGTTTCTGAATAAAATCTTGTTCTGTGACCCCAGGAGATAGTCTTAACAGCAGTGCATTGTTAATTTGTGTTTGTTTTAGCTATGATTACTTCTACAAAGGATGCTAATGAAGATTTAGGTCAATAGCCATACACAAGTATAAAATTCGCTTTTCTCTTAGGAGGTTTTCTGCTGAATGGAGATGAACTATATTGTAGGTATGGAATGTGGGCATGTGGCCCTAGCAGGTATTGAACCGTTCTTTTGTTTCTGTTTTTTTTTTTTAATTTATTTTTATTTTTTTTTTTAGGAAAGATTTTTGCTATAGGGCCTGTGTATTCGCCAGAGAGACAGAGACAGAAAGTGAGAAATCACTCCTCCAGGGAGGATGGCCATGCCACAATCCTTTTTCTCCATTCTCTCAGGGTTTTGGGCACACATGCACACATACCCAGCATTAGTTTTAAGCTGTTGGGTCCAGGACTTGAACCACAGTCAACTACAAAGGAGTCCAGTGACATAACCATTATACCATGTGCTGGTCCCAGTTCTTTGTTTCTGTTTTTAAAACACTTTTGTTTATAAGGAATCTTGTTCTTTATCTGAAGAGTCGACTGGTAGATTATTGGTTCAATAGAACATTTCCAGAATGACCCAGCTGGCACATGAGGATAAATGCTTATTTTGGTGGCATTCAGCTCTGAGTGATATATTTTGCTAAAGAAATAAAAGAGTACACATTGCCTTTTTTTTTTTTAAAGTTTATTTATTTCTCCCATCATGAGCATGAATATGTCTGGTATGCTTAGGGAGGTCTCTGGGCACCAACCTAGAATCTTCTCATGTGTGTCACTTTTTACCGTTGTGCCACCATTTGGCCTAGAACTTGATGCTTTTATCTGGAAGGAGTTGCGACTTTTTTTTGTGGAGCAGACAGTTGAAAGGACTGTCTGCCTGGTGGCCTGTGCAGGTCTGAGAGATCAGCTCTGGCCATCAGCACATCCAAGAGGGCTGTGCCTTCAATTTTCACACTGGAGTTGTTCCCTTGCTCAGCGAGTAGAGCTACTTCCCACCCTACTATGGGCTAGATGGGGAATGAGGTGAGAGACTGTGAAGAGCTCCATGGCAGTCCTTCTACACGGGAGAACACAGCTGAAAGCAACAGCTACCAGGCGTACGCCAGCAGTGGTTTTCCCACGGGCAAGACGTGGTTTGCACACGTGCTCGGCTAATGGAGTGAGTTAAAGGTTTTCCACACTGGCAGCTTTGTGCGCTGAGCAATGTGGCTTCCCTCATGACACAGAACGCTAACTGGGTGGGTGTACCCCATGAAGAACGCTTTGCATTCATGTTTTACTTCAGAGTTTTCAACTCTCATTAGACTATACATCTAACTCACCCCAATTCAACTACACATGTTCAGCACAAAAGGAAGCAAGAGGAAAAACGTAATTCAAATTGAGCTAGTGATTCACTTGCCGTTCCCTTCCAGTGAGAACATGCTCCAGAGAGTGAGTTGAGATGGAAGACGGCAGCTTGCTGTTCTCCAGCCATAGACTCTGTATTGTATCTTATGGCATGGAAATTGCTTCTGGTATTTGAAGTCCTGTGCTTTAAGTAGACATGAATTCTCCATGTTAAGTCAACTAGTTCAGTTGATGGCTACCAAAGAATCAGCATCTCTTCTGTCCCTGGAGATCAGGGTGGGCTTATTGAGGGAGAAATGACAGTCTCCAAGGTGGCCTGTCATCTTGGGCACAGGGATCTACTTTATGGGTAATACTGAGACATTCATAAGAGTAATTGTGGTCATATCCAATTTATACATTAGCCTTCAACTTCAGAAAGTAAGTTTTGGGTAAAGTGTGATTCTACTGTGTTTAAAAATGTTCATTCTCAGGGCCAACAGATGATGTGGTAGTTAAGGGTACTGGTCCCACTGGCTGACCACCATTTGAATCTTGAACCTGGCAGCTTGCTTTCTCACCCCTCCCTCACTCTGCCCCTCTCTGGTCAAATTAAAACAAACAAATAAATAAAGTTAAATAAAATAATCCTTTAAAAATGTTCATTCTCTATGCCCTGTGAAGTAGGGGTGGCCAAAAGTTAAATTCCCCATCTAAGGTCATGTAGCACCAGGATCTGGTACCCAGCGTTTGCTCTGTGGCTGTTCTTCTCAGTCTCACCATGGCACAAGGCAGGACTGCCGCGTGTGGTTGTGTAGGCTATTCCCTACCGAGAGCGAGAGGAAAAGGGTGGGATTTGCTTGCCAAGTTCTCCATGCACCCAGGTCTGGAATTGCACCAGAGCTGAGGAAGGAGTTTCTCTCCTATGTACTCAGGGATGTCTGGTGGGCCAGCAGGGCCTCTAAACAAGGCCGAATCTGTATGTAACACCTGAGGCATGAAATTAAGGAAAGGACGGAGATTGCATTGTCCGTGGTGCCTGTGTCCTTGGAACCTGCTCAGTACCTCTCTTTTTTCCAAATGCTGCCTTCTGAGGAATTTAGAAACTTTAAATGATTTGTCAACTGAGAATTATACACTTGCATCCAATGCTCTGTGTGTGTGCGTATGTGTATGTGTCTTTCCAACACTTTTTATTGACCAACTACTGTATGTCAGACTCTGGACTTGCCACTGTGGATGCATGTAGGAAAAGACAGACACAGTGTCTGCTCTGGCAGCACTGGCAGGGTAGGGTGGCACCCACAGCACAGAGCCATAGCACTTTGACGGTGACACCTCATAGGTTGGTCATTTTACCCTGACTTAGGAGTTCAGGGAAGGAAGTCTTAGTAGATATGAAGTCCTTTGAAAAAACTGAAAGACAGGTGGGAATTAGGCAAAGAACAGAGCCAAGTGTCCGCGTTGATGAAAGGCATGTGGAGAGTGGCAGAGATGAGTGAATATTATTGTTCAAAGGATATAGAGCAATTCTCAAATCTTTCCATGTGGAGGAAGTTACCAATGAATTCAAGTACAGATTTCTATAGAGTGGTCTGATGAAGGGGCTGAAGTTCTGCCCTGCTGCTGGTCCTCACTCTGAGTAGGTCAGAAAGCAGCTACAGTGAGGACTGACTCTCATGCCTATGGGGCATGTCTCTTTCATGGCTCTATCTCTTGCACTCAGCCTGGTTTCTGACACTTAGAAAGTGCTCCATTAAAATTCATGGAGCAAGTACACATAGGAATAAGTGAGGGGTAACTGCTGAGGCTAGAGAGGTTAGGAAGGGCCAGAAATACGGCCAAGTTAGAGGGCTTGGAATTTGACATAAGTGCACCAGTGGTGGAAAAGAGGGGAATTGAGGGGCACTGTGGGTCTTAAGCAGGTTAAACAAATATATCATCAATTTCTATTTGAGAAAGAGTGGAGTTTAGTGAGACTGGATAGAGTCCCATTAGGAGTCACCCAGGCAACAGGACAATAGTGGCCTAGTCAGGGTAGAGGCAGTTGAAATGCAGAGATGTCCATGGGAGCGGGAGGAGGCCGGGTGGGACTTTGTCAGTGGTGCCCGTGGATTGACTCTGCCTTCAGGTTGCTGAGACCCAGGCAGAGCCCAGGAAGTAGGAAGCCCAGCACTTCCTGTCAGGAACTCACTACAGGGCTGAGGTCAAACATGGCCATTATCTTGGTTCACACAGGAGGTACTTGGTGAATGTTTGAGTGAGTTTGAAAGGAACTTGACAGTTACCAAGAAAGAGATGAGTGGAAAAAAATTATGTCATCCAAAGAGAGGGCGTTAGAGCCCAGGAGTGAGCATTGTGGGAGACTGTGCCCACCAGCCATGCACCCCAGGAGAGGAGCAGACTCCTGGGAGAGAAGTAGGTGGTGAAGAGGAAGGAGCACCTCGTGTTTCTCTTCACCTCTGTGGAGGCAGATTGCTTCCACTTCCAGACTTTGCAGTGCAAGAGTGAAACTTTCAGCACTTTAAAGGAATATAGAGTTCTACGAGGGAAAAGTCACACTGTTGAGATTTTAGAAAGGGAAATGTCAGAGCCAGCAGGTGGCATGGTTGTTGAGGTACTGGATTCCCACATTGGTGAATGTGGTTCAAGTCCCAGACCCTGTGGCTTGAAACTCAACACTGGGTACATGTGTGTGCATGCCCAAAGTCCTGAGAGGAGAAGAGAGGAGAAGGGATTGTGGTGTGACCATTTCCCCTGGGGGGTGACTTCTCACTTTCTTTCTCTCTGTCTCTCTGGAGAGCTCATGCACCTGATAGCAAAAATCTCTCTTAAAAAACAAACAAACAAACAACCCAGGGAAATGTCACTATACAAAAGAATTTTAATTGTTCTCTGATTTTTAAAGTAATACATTTTTATCATAAGGTATACATGATGAAAAATATAAAGAAGTAGCACAATCAATTGCCCCAAAGACTCAGAGAAATACTATTATATTATTAACTTTTGGGCATGTTTTCTTTTAGATTTTGTCTGTGTATACAGTACATTTTAATTTATTTCATTTATTTTTTAGAGGTTTTCACCTTAGGGTGCATGCACTCACTGGAGAGAGAGATTCACACAGACAGTGAGAGGGAAAGTGAGAAATCATGCCCAGGGGAATGGCCATACTGCAGTCCCTTCTCCTCCATTCTCCTCCTGACCTGGGCACCCATGCACACATGTCTGGCATGAGGTTCAAGCCACTAGGT